CCCCAGCCCGAGCATTTAGGGGGTGCTCAGACACAAATGGGTGAATGGGCAGGGTGGGAACTGGCAGTTGCTTGCCTGAGGCACATGGCCATAACAGTAAAATGAAAAGCGCCAATAAAAGGGCCCCCTCCTTTTGCTTAGGTGCTGTATGGACACCTTGGCTCAGCCTGAGACCAGAGGGTCACTGGTCTCTCCTTTTTCTTAACTCACTGCTCAGAAACTAGGGGTTCTGGCAGAGCCAACCCACGTTTTCTCCGTTACCCCAAACCCACAGGGAGGCAGACACCGACAGACGTCCCCCAGGGTACCTGCAGGAGGATCTTGTTCCCGTCGTGGTCCTCCGTCTGCCAGCGCCCCTCACTGATGGGGCTGCAGGGGTGGGGCAGGAGCGGCACGAGCGCGCCGATGTCCTTGACTCGGAACTCCAGCACCGACGAGTCGGCGGGGACCGGGGTCTGGTCACAGGGCAGCCTCTTGAGGGAGAACTGGATGTCCACGTCCAGGTTGGAGAAAATGGGGAAGATGCAGAAGTCCGCCTTCCTTTGGCTGGGGCTCCGCCTGAGGATCAGCTCGTAGAACCGGAGGATGTCGGCGTAGTTGTCGTGGCGGCAGTAGAGGGTGAAGCGCACGATCTCGCGGCCGTAGTGCACCGGCCGAATGGCCCACAGCGGCGTCCCGGGGGCCAGCGTGAAGAAGTCCTGGCTGCACGGCAGGTAGGGCAGGAGCCTGCCGGGCACGCGCTCCGTGTGGTGGTGGCGCCAGGGCGGCCGCTGCAGCGCGCGGTGCAGCTGCAGGATCTGCTCGTCGCCGTAGTCCTCCTGCAGGAAGAGAACCACCGCCAGCGCGGGCTGCGCCGCCTTCGGGGCCTTCCTCCGCCGCCGGGAAGCCCTCCTTTCGGAGACCCGGAACAGCTGGAGGCCTGGGTGGATCCAAGCCAAGACCTTGTCGATGGCCTCCTGCAGAGGCTGGGATTCTCCTGGGTCTGCGATTATGTGGATGCTAACCAGGAAAGGGTCCTGGGCCTCCTCCACAGAAAGCTCACCTGGGACCACAAGAAGAAAAACAAAAAAATTCCCCAGACTGTGACCGTTTCTTTCAGGTGTCCTGTGATGATGCCGTGCAAAGCCCTGGCAGAAAGAGAAGCTAAATTCTAACTGAACTGACTCCATAATCCTATGGTTTTCTGATCCTAAGTTCATGTGCGAAAACTGTTGCAGTACCCTGGCCACCAAAAGCTGAAGAACTACCGCTATGAATGGTTCCCCAGCTGGGTAGTGTTAGGAAAACTCTGGTGCTGTGCTTCATCAGGTTGAATGTACTTTCTATTAGGCAGTAGAAAGTCAAGTCTCCATTGCTCTGGAAGGGATAACAGGCCCAACAGAGAAGATGCTGTACTCCTAAGTGTATATATACCCTTTAGTGTTTCCTGAAGTAATCGCAATGCCTTAACCCACAAATGTTCCATATACTATTTGGTTTGCTTATTTCATTGGTTTATTTTGTTCATTCATTTAACAAACATTTATGGAATCCTTTCTTCATGCCCTATGCTAGGTGCTGTGCTAGGCACTTACCCTAATTGACAGATCAAGCCTCAGCTGTTGAGGCATCCTGCCAATAGCATCCTGATGGCTGCGGGTAGCCTGGTCATGATCACTTTGTTGCTGGAAACACATGGAAGAACAATCCAGGGACAAGCACAGTGTTCTTGCTGTCAGAGCTTACTGGGGCTATAGTTAGGGGCCGGGGACTCAAGGTGGGACCATGATGGCCTGTGTAATGCTGTCTTTTGGGCCTCTCCCGGGCCATGTTCACCCAGAAGCCCATACATCCTAACTGGGTCAGCTAACTTTCCTATGTCCTCTGGCAGAACATTTGGAAACTGCAGATTCCAAGTGTGAAGTTGACTGTTTAACCTGGCAATACTTTCCCATGGGGTGAACAGTTTGCTGGCTATACTGGCATAATTATAATTCACAAACATTCAGCACATTTTATCAAATAACCTGATAAAAGCCTTGCTCTTTTAAAAGATGGACTCTTTCCATTTATATAAACTTTATGACTCATCCAAGGACAATCAAATCTTTTTTTTAAAGAAATCTTTAAGCCTGTTGTGACTTAGGGGGCTAGAGTCATCTAGAATCTAGACCTGTCTTCATAACATGCCTCCTAATGTCCACTAGGGTGTTAGGCACAGGGTGATTATTCAGTCAGTAACATTTAAGAAGTGTGATGTGCTTTTAGGAACCATAATCTTGAGCAGTTAACAAGATGAAAGGTAATTTTTTGTTGTAGGTAAACAACACACTCCAAGTTAGCTCATAGGTACATGGTGTCATATGCACCTGTAATTACATGGTTTTAATTTTGTTGAATCAAACCCTGTCTGAATTTTAATCCCAACTTTTTCTGTTAGATATCTCACTTGGGGATAGTTAGTTGAATTTGTTGTTACCTTCTTTCTCATTTACTCATTCATTCACACATTTCTTGAGCAATTAATATGTACTAGGCCCTGGGGAGATAAGGAAGTCTGAGTACAATGGAAGTGCACTTACACAGACTCTGGTGTGAATAGGGCACCTTCAGAGTTGTGCAGTCCATGACCTGCGCAAGCACAGGCATGGGTCTTCTAAAGACCCATACACTACAAACAAAAACTTTGTGATTTAGTTGGGAAACACAGACGTAAAAAATTAAAATCAATCAGATATGTGCCTATAGGAACTATAGTAGAGTACTATCTTAGGCAGGAGTTGTATTATAAAGTCGCCATGAAATAAAAATTATGTATAGACAATATTACCACTGAAAGCTCCTTGGATTTCCAATACAGTACTGGAGGTACTGACTTGCAGCAACACAGCCAGAGAGATGTTGCTTTGATTGAACACCAGGTGAAATAACAGGCTTGTTTCCTGGCTGTGTTATAAAAGAATAATCGTATATCATTAAGCACTAGACACCCCTCCCCCACTCCCTCTCTTCTCCTAGACTGTGCCTTTCACTCTACAAGAAGATTCTGAGAACTCAAGAGGCTTCTGTAACCAAAGGATGACTAAGGTAACTTAGTACTCCCATGATCACGGAGTAGAATGGTGGGTAGAATTACCTGAACTCCACCTCCCTGCCCTCTGGCTGAGCACGGATTCCCAAATATGTATGAGTTAAATACGAGCACAATGCAATTCCAGTTTACTATCATGTGACAAAGGAAGGAGCAACTTTTTCTCCAGCGGGCTTCTGAGAACACTTTCTGGAAGTGGCAGCACGTGAATTGGTCTTGAAAGGTAAAATCTCACTTATAACCTCCAAGGTGGGAGAGATTGCTGTGGGAAGAGGAAAGACTATTTATGAAGGCACAGAACTCTAAAAAACAAGCATATTTGGAAGGGGGTGGAGAGTAATTCTGAAACAGCAACAGAGGCAACAGAAAAAAAATGGATTGGGGCCAAGTTGTACAGGGCTTCAGCTCAATTTGGTAGTGATAAGTGGCAATGGGAAGTTTTAATAAAGGGATGCCGGGATCAAGCCATGGGGACGTTAACTACAGGCAAAGTAAGAAAACAAAAGACAAGTGAAGAATCTAGATGAGATAACAAGGACTTGGAAATGTAGGAGATTACATTATTGGCCCAGTTATTTATCCTGTCCTATCTCCTTGCTCTCTGCCATGTGACTTTGTAGTTCCTCCCACTTAGTGGGTGAAGTGTGATTCCCTTCACTCTTTGACTTTGGATTAGACCATACGACTAGCTTTGCTAACAGAGTCAAGAGTGACATGTGTTTTGGCTTGCCTTCTTGTGCTTCTGCCATTTCCATGAGAAAAAGATAGTCAAGCCAGCCCACTGGTGCCAGAAAGGAGGATGAGAGATATGTGGAGCAGAGGCACCCCAGCTGAGCCCACCTACATCAGCCAACCTCAGACACCCAAAGACACACAGTATGGGCCACCCAGCTAAGCCTGGCCTATATGAGCTGGCCCAAAACACATGGGAAATAATAAATGACTGCTGTTTTAAGCCACCATTTGGGGGTGACTGTTACACAGCAATATTATAGATGCAGGCAGAGTCACTGAGTATACGGAAGAGCATGGATTCAAGAGCTATTTAGGAGGCACATGTCACAGCCTGGGGGTGAGAAGCAGGAAAAGCAGAAGAGCATACCTTCATATTTCCAGCTTGAGCAAGTGACCTGATGTTGATGCTTAACTGAGCTAAGAAATATTTGGAAGAAGGGTAGGTTTGTGAGGAAAGAGAAGTAGTTCCATTTTGGCCACGTTGGCTTGAGATGTCTGAATGACTTCTAGGAGAAATGTCTTGTTGGCAACTGGACCTGTCTCTTGCTGAAGTGATGGGCTGAATTTAAAGATGGACAAGTTACCTTAGATCATATTCCTACTTTTATGCAGTTATCTCATCAGTGTGTGCCCCCATATTCATTTGAATCAGGGAAAATGCATCATGATGGCTTAAAAACAATCTGAATTCATGAATTATTCTGGGCCTTCTTTGCTTGCTTTTTCTGCTCATCTGGCTACTTTCTGTTTCATTGAACATTATTAGCACCACTATCAGCAGAAGTGCAGTAGAAGCAAAGGTAGTGAAATGAAACCACTGAAATTTTCCATCAGTCAGGAACTCTAGTAATCATCTAAAATGCACATTTCACTTTTCCTTGGTGCCTTCATCTCCAAACAGTGGAGATATGTGACTATGCCAAACATTACTGAATGCTCAATATACATGGAAAGGGGCAGAAAGGCCTTGAACAATCTGAGGATGAAATTTACTTGAGAAAATTACAGAAGATTTCTGTGGGGGAAAAAAGGATACATGTTGCAGAAAGAGTGTTTAGGAAAAGAGGCTGNTTGAGGATGAAATTTACTTGAGAAAACTACAGATGATTTCTGTGAGGGGAAAAAAGGATACATGTTGCAGAAAGAGTGTTTAGGAAAAGAGGCTGTCAGAGCAGTCAGGGAGTCCTGCTAAGAGCCTGCCCCACACTCAGAGTGTGCATGTGGACAGGTACCTGTGGTGACACAGTTAGCTAACACTTGTATGACTCACTGTGGGTGGGCTGGCACTTTCCTGGTGTTCTATATGTATGAACTCATTTAATCCTCATAACCCTAGAAGGGGGGTGTCTATTATTCTCCCCATTTTAGAGAGCAGGAATCGAGGCACAAAAGAGGTGAAGTAACCCGGTCATCCTGCATCTGACTTTGTGTGCACAGTCACCCCACAGCTCTGCAGAGAGGTGCGCTCACATTCTCTGCTGTATTTGTTTCATAGCAGAATGANTCATCCCACAGCTCTGCAGAGAGGTGTGCTCACATTCTCTGCTGTATTTGTTTCATAGCAGAATGAGCCGCTGTCACTTTCCCGCCATCTCTGGCCACACTGCTACTACTTCACCTCTCTCTACTGCTCTCCTGCTTCCTTCTAACTGTCTGGTTTCTCGGCTGCCAGCCAAGCTTCATGTCTTGGACACCTATTTATATCTCTTTCTTCTGGCCCTGGGTTTCTGAAGAATAATCCAGAAACCACCTCCCCGATGGCACATGCCCGGGTATTTAGATCTGAGCACTGCCCTTGAGGAAAACTGAAACAGGCCAGCACTGCAGGTGGGTGTAACAGTGAAAGGAAAGCAGAAGAGTGATAGAGCAAGCCTGAAGATGGGTGTGAGCGGCCTGCATGTGGAGATACCTGGGGTAAGTAAGGTTGTCTCTGAGTCTCCAAGACAGTGTTGTCAGGGTGCTCAGCATCGGGCCACCTCTACCAGCTGCATAAAGGGTTCCCAGAGAGTAGTAACAAAGGCCACACTGAGCCTGCATGGATGAGTGAATGTTCAGTTTTGCTAAAGGGCAAGATGCCCAGCCTCGGAGCAGGGGGTGGGACTGAAAGGCACTGGGCCAAGCACCAGCTCGCCTGGGAAGCTCTGGGTGCAGCCGACTAACCGGACTCCAGAGCTCCCTCCCTTTGCACGGTAAGAACCAGGGATATGTCAGTGGCTAAAATCCTGCCCTGAGAAGAG